TCCTCTCTCTCTCTCTCTCTCTCTCTCTCTCTTTCTTTCTTTCTTTCTTTCTTTCTTATATGTAAGTACACTGTAGCTGATTTCTATTCTGTTCTGTAGGTTGTCTTTTCACTCTGCTGATAGTTTCATATGATTTTTAATTTCATGTAGCCCCTCTTGCTGACTCTTGATTATTTCCTGTGTACTGTTCAGAAAGTTGTTGAACCTGAGGTGTATTCCCTATGTTTGCGCCTAGGAGGTTGAACGTTTCAAGTTTTAAAATTAGGGTCTTTTATCCATTTTTAATAGTTTTTTGGGCAGGTAAGTGATGTGAATGAATTCACCTTTCTGTATGTAGATACCAAGTTTTTGCCAGTGTTTGTTGAAGGGGTTTTTCCTCCTTCCTGGATGTTTTTGATGTCTTTGTCAAACATTAGGTAGGCGTGTCCATGTAGGTTTATTTCTGGGTCCCCCATTTCAGTCTTGTACATGTTTGTTTTTGTGCCAGAGTCATCCTGTCTGTTATGATAGCTCTGTAGGATAACTTGAAGTCAGATGCTGTGATACTTCCAGCAGTGTTTTCTCAGGTTGGGACTGCTTTGGCTATATGTGGTCTTTTTGTGCTTATTTAGAGTTTTGAATTTTTTTCTTTTTTTCTTTTTCCTTTTTTTGAGATTTTTTAGACAGGGCTTCTCTGTGTAGTCTTGGCTGTCCTGAAACTCATTCTGTAGACCAGGCTGGCCTCGAACTCAGAAATCTGCTTGCCTCTGCCTCCCAAGTGCCGGGATTAAAGGCGTGCGCCACTACTGCCTGGCTGAATTTTTTTTTTCTAGTTCTGTAAATAGTTTCATTGGAATTTGGGGTGAGTTTTCATGGGACTAACATTAAGTTTAAATTATTTACAGAGATCTACTCGCTTCTGTCTCCCAGGTGTTGGGATTAAAGGTGTATGTCACCATGCCTGGCCCTGTTTTTGTTTTTTAAAGCAGGGTCTCATTTATGGAGGCTAGCCTTAAACCTTAAGCTTCCTCTCTAGTTGAGGATGGCCCTGAGCCCCAGATATGTCTGCTTCTGCTTCCCAAAAGTTGGGTTTAGAGGAGCGAGGAGCCATGCCTGGCTTCCAGGTCATTTCTTTTTTATTTCCCTTATTTATTTATTTATTTATTTATTTAAAGATTATATCTTTAGTCCCAGCACTGGGGGCAGAGGCGGGGTGAGTTTGAAGGTAGCCAGGGTTACATGGTGAGTCTGTCTCAAAAAGAAAACAGAAAATGTTTTCAGCAGAGTTATTCTTGTTATTAAGTGATAGCCCTTTAGAACTATTTTGGAGGAAAATTAAGTTGTCCAGTCACATCGCTGGATGTCGGTGGTGTCTCAGTGAATGGAAAATAGAGAAAGAGTCGGTTAAAGAGTGACTTTATTCTCTCAGCTATTAAACTCACCGTTATTGAAGTACTGGTAGAAGATAACATTATTATCGCTAATGTATAACTCCTTCCCTCCATGGAAACAACTAATTTTTGATTAAGTGAGGTTTCTTTGTTTTGTTTTTAATTACGTCATAACTGCCTATCATCATGGGTGAAGTGAATCAATAAGCCATTTTCTTTGTTTACTTTATAGGGAAGATGGAAGAACTGAGCCAAGCCCTAGCCAGTAGCTTTTCTGTGTCTCAAGAACTGAACAGCACAGCTGCCCCACACCCTCGCCTGTCCCAGTACAAGTCCAAGTACAGCTCCTTGGAGCAGAGCGAGCGGCGGCGCCAGCTGCTCGAACTCCAGAAATCGTAAGCGTGCTCTAACTCCTTGGCTTCTTTCTTTATGCTGGGAGCTGTGAGTCATTCGTGGGTAACTAGACTTGTTTCCTTAGAACCACCTTCACAGAAGAAGGTCATTTCCTGTCCACAAGGTCTGTCACACATAATTAATTATCTTTTGTCAATACACTTTAGAAAAATAAGGAGAGAAAAGCTGAACTTTCGAAGCAAAGCTCAGTTATTTGGTTAAACTTGTCTTGGCAGCAGTACTCAGCTTTGCAGTTTAGGGATTTATGAAAGCCATGCTTAGACTCCCTTCCCCTCATCCCCTGGACTGCTCATGTGTGGCTTCTCACTCACTGTGATGATGGCCTTGGTATGCCCTTCCTATCTGCCTTCAGCTCAGATGTCTCTGTGTTACCTTTGGGAATCCAAGGTAATTCCCCAGAGCATCAGCAGGAACATTCCCACACACTTAGCTCTGAATGCCAAACGAACAAATAGCAGTAAGGCAAGAGAAGCATGGCTTAGGCTGCCCTCGCTGAAGGCCTGTCCTTTATTCTTAATGTATCTTTAGCCTCTTTGGGGTCAGAAATTCAGGAATTGGGAATTAGAAGAAACTAGCAGTAGCTGTACCAGTTGCATTGAGTCTGGACTTTGTGAAGTGCTGTGTCAGTAGATGAGTTTAACAGATAGTTCCTGAGGAGTTCTGAGCTGTTTGCTGATTCTAATCCCATGTCATCCCAGTTCACTCCTCCTTCCTTCCCTGCTTTCTTCTCTCTCTTTTTCCCTCCTTACCTCCCCCCTCCCTTCCTCCCTCCCTCTCTCTTTCCTTTTCTTTTTGGTTTTTCTTTTTTTTCTTTTTTTCTTTTTTCTTTTTTTGAGACAGGGTTTCTCTGTGTAGCCCTGGCTGTCCTGGAACTCACTCTGTAGACCAGGCTGGCCTCTAACTTAGAGATCCACCTGCCTCTGCCTCCCAAGTGCTGGGATTAAAGTCATGTACCAACGTCAACTAGCTCCTTCCCTGTTTTCAATTGTAATTTATTATTTTCAAATAGGTAACACATTGTATGGCTCAGAATACATGGAAAAGTGTATAAACACTCCTTTCTGGTCTGTTCCCTTAAATTACTAGTTCCTTGTGTACACTTGCAGAGCTATCTTGTACAGATACAAGTGTCTACTTGTCTACAACCTTATTTTATCTTTGCAATACAGTTAAACAATTCAGGCTAATAAGTTGTCTGGAGAGGTAAAGATGCCTGCTGCCAAGCCTGCTGGTCTGAGTTCCATCCCAAGGACCCATTTGGTGGAAGGAGAAAACTGATTCCTTACAGGTTATTCTCTGGTCTCTCTATGTGCCCGTGGCACATGTATGCCTACACACATACACACAAAGTCATGCACACAAAATAAATAGATAAAGTGCAGTCATTTTAAAAATTCAGTTATTGACGTACTACACTTGCTGTATGCTTGCTTGTTTGTTTGTTTGTTTGTTTGAGATAGAGCCTCAGGGCTTGAGAGAAGACTCAGTGTGTAAAGTTCTTAGAACCTCAGTTTAGATTCCTAGGATCCAAGGAAAGCGTGACTGTGGCAGTGAGCATCTACAGATTCAGTGCTGTCTGTGTAGGGCAGAGCCTGGTGCTCCCTGCAGCTTCCTGGGGGAAGCTTTCAGTCTAGCTGAAACAGCAATCTCTAACCTCAACAAGACACTTTCAAAAAAAGGAAGGAGAGAGACTCCTGACATCAGCCTTCAGCCTACACACACGCACACACACACACACACACACACATATTATACTACACATGTATATACACAGACACACATTCATCCATATACACATAGAAGGATGGGCTGGGCGGTGGTGGCGCACGCCTTTAATCCCAGCACTTGGGAGGCAGAGGCATGCAGATTTCTGAGTTCGAGGCCAGCCTGGTCGACAGAGTGAGGAGTTTCAGGACAGCCAGGGCTACACAGAGAAACCCTGTCTCAAAAAAAAAAAAAAGTTAAAAAAAAAAAAAAAGAAAGCTGGAGGAGTCTTATGTATACCTAGGCTACCTTTAAAATTACTGTCTACCTTGTATGCTGGGATTACAGGTGTGCTCTACAATACCTATTTTTTGCAGTGTTGGAGATCAAACACAGTGCCTCATGTATTTTAAGCAAGCCCTCCACTGACTGAACTATGTCTTTAAACACATCATTTCTTTTAATGGTGCCAGGTATTCCATTAAATGGATGGCTCATAATGTAGTCAGCCAGTTCCCTGTTGCCGGCACCTGGGTAATTTTCTTCCTATATGATTACAAACACCTATGGGAGGTAACTATAGTTCTTCTGTACACATACTCATATTCTAGGTTTTTTCTATCCTTTAAGTAAAGGTCATTATATGTCCTACTAACATGCAACTTTGTGGGAGTGCGTGTGAAAAACCTAGAGCCAAGCATGGCAACACATACCTTTGATACTAGAACTCAAGAGACAAAGGCAGGCTCATCTCTGTGAGTTCAGGGTCAAATTGATCTATACAGTGAGCTCCAGGCCAGTACATATTGAGACTTGTCCTAATTCAGAAAGCAGATAATAAAGAAAAAGAAAAAAATAATCAACTGGGCTACCACCATTGTTCAGTGGTTAAAGGTGCTTACTGCAAACCTGAGTACCTGATTTCAGTCTCTGTACCCATATGAGGGAAGGAGAGGACCAACTTCTTCAAGCTGTCCTCTGACTTCCACACACGTGCTATGCCATATCTGTGCCCACACACATATAAATATATATATATATATATGCATACACACACATACACACAAAGAAGCCATGTTGGTTTTTGTGTCTGATTTTTTTTTTTTTAAGATTTAAAAATTTATTTTATAGGCAGAGGCAGGTGGATTTCTAAGTTCAAGTCCAGCCTGGTCTACAGAGTGAGTTCCAGGACAGCCAGGGCTACACAGAGAAACCCTGTCTTGAAAAACCAAAAAAAAAAAAAAAATTTATATATGTGAATGCTCTATCTGCATGTATACCTGTGTTCCAGAAGAGGGCATTAGGTCCCAGGATAGATGGTTGTGAGCCACCATGTAGTTACTGGGAGTTAAACTCAGGACCTCTGAAAGATCAGTCAGTGCTCTTAACCGCTGAGCCACCTCTCCAGCCCCTAGTATCTTATTTTATTTATTTATTTATTTATTTATTTATTTATTTATTTATTTGCCTTAGCTTTGGGAAATTGTAAAATACATTGTATTGCAAATTACTCTAACAATTAGTTTTGAAATTTTCTTTTTCTTCACAGTTTCCTCAATTTACTAGAACATGCTGTTTTATTTTTAAAGATTTATTTATTTTTGCATTTATATGAGTACACAGTCACTGTCTTCAGACACACTAGAAAAGTGCATCAGATTCCATTACAGATGGTTGTGAGCCACCATGTGGTTGCTGGGAATTGAACTCAGGACCTCTGGAAGAGCAGCCAGTGCTCTTAACTGCTGAGCCATCTCTCCAGCCCTGCTGGACTCTTTAATACATAAAATTATTTTTGCTGCTACTTTATAACTGTAATTTTGCTACATTGTTATGAATCATAATGTAAAATCTCTATGGTTTTTGATGATCTTAGGTAAGTCCCGTGAAAGGCTCATTCAACCCCTCAGAGGGATCACGACCCACAGGTTGAGGAGAACTGCTGATCTACAGGATCTGTTGCCCTCTTCTGATCTCCATAGGCAACTGCACACACGCACATGCACATGCACACGCACAGAGGAAGGGTCATCCTGGGCTACTAGGGAATTTGAGACTATCCTAAGCTACTTGAGACTATCTGAGCAAAATAAAAGCTTGGGTATTTTGATGCATGCCTATAATCCCAGTATTCAGCAGTCAGAGGTGGGAGCATCTCCGTGAGTTCCACAGCAGCCTGGTCTACACTATAAGTTCTGGGACAGCCAGGAGTACATAGCAAGACCTTGTCTCAGAAAAATAAGAAAATAAAACAAAAGGCTGGGGCTGGAGGGCAGAGGAGTTTAGAGCCTGTCTTGGTTAAGGTCGCTCTGGGCAAGTAAGTGAATCCAGATCCAATAAACTACTAAATAAAAACCAAGAGTGGGCCGGGCAGTGGTGGCGCACGCCTTTAATCCCAGCACTTGGGAGGCAGAGGCAGGTGGATATCTGAGTTCGAGAGTTCGAGGCCAGCCTGGTCTACAGAGTGAGTTCCAGGACAGCCCAGGCTATACAGAGAAACCTTGTCTCGAAAAACCAAAAAAAAAAAAAAAAAAAAAAAAAACCCAAAACCAAAAGTGGATGGTGGATATACAGCTTCTTGGTAGAGTGCCAGCCTTGAAGGCCTTAGCACAAGGCTTGAAGTTTAAATCTCGTTGTGGGGTAAAGTGAAAGTAGGAGGAAAAAGATAAAAGAAAAGAAACAAGTTAAAGATGGCGACTCTTTTTTTCTTTCTTTCTTTTTCTAAAGACGGTCTCACTGTGTAACTCTCCTAGAACCCAGTATGTAGACCAGGTTGGCTTTGAACTCTCAGAGCTCCACCTGCCCCTACCTTCCCGACCGACATCAAGGATGAGTGCCACTATACCAGGATGATGTCAAGTCTTAAGCCAAGAGACCTCTTTTGAAGGTCAAACAAGAAAAGGCTGAGTTTGAGATTGTGTTTGTTTGTTTACTTGTTTTGTCAGCATGCTGTCTGATGTGGAAAGTCCCAGAAGATGTTCTTCTTTTGGACTTCTCACTGCATTTAGTGTTTCCTCCTTCCTGTCTCCAGAGCCTTTGATGGGTATGCCAGGCAGGAAATGTTACTTCTCATCTGGAATGCAGTGGGGTAATGTGGGTTCAGCAGATCCAGCCAGTGAATCTTGGAAATTCCTTTAAGAATAAATATTTTACTTTGAATATTCTTAAGAAACTGAGGAAGGCTGAGTGTGTTCAGACGGAGTTTCCTGATTAGAAATGATGAGGAAACAGTTACTAGTTTAACTTTGCAAAGGAAATTCTGATTTTTTCTTACCCACACCAGAAACTAAATTTGTCATCCTTAAATTAAGTGAAATCTGTCACATTGTGGGATTTTTTGTGTGTGTGTGGTATGTATAGACCTGTCCTTATCTTTTTCTCCTCCAGCAAGCGGTTGGATTATGTGAACCATGCCAGAAGACTGGCCGAAGATGACTGGTCAGGGATGGAGAGTGGGGAAGAGGAGAACAAGAAAGAGGAAGAGGAAATGGACGTGGACCCTGGCAAGAAGTTACCAAAACGCTATGCTAATCAAGTGAGTGGTATAGCGTGTGCTCCTCCCTTCCACGTGCAGTCAAACCATCAAAATGCGTGCAAGCCTAGTGAATGAGGACTCTGGGGTATTTGCAGGAGAATGGTGGCTGACTTGGAAGCACTGATGGAGCTAGACCTAGCAGTGTATCATGCTTTTAATCGCAGCACTTGGGAGGCAGAGGCAAGTGGATTTGTGCGTTTGAGGCCAGCCTGATCTACATAGTGAATTCTTGGACAGCGAGGGCTATGTAGTGAGACCCTGTCTCAAATAAAACAAAACAAAGCAAAACCTACTGCTGAAGTCTGTGGACAGTGGTTTGGAGTTACTAGTCCACTGAGCCCATGCTGTTAACCAGAGACTGTCCGCTCGCTACAGGAAGCTCCTCTGCCTCCCAAGTGCTGGGATAAAAAGGGTGTGATACCACACCTAGCTTTTTTTTTTAAATGGCCATTGCATAGTTGGCTTGGGTGGGACGTGAGGCCTATTCACTACCCTTGTGTCCTCATCCCTTTCTTGGTTGGTAGTCTTTCCCACCTAGAGTATTAGGAGGCCAGTCTTGACACAGTATACTGAGGTTGGTAGCAGGTAGGAAGTACATCTTAATTACTTAGTTACCTTAAATAAAGAGATCCTGCACAGAACAACCAGTTGACTAAGGTAATATTGAACTGTGATACAGCCAATCACTGGGCCACACTCAATTAAATGCTGGTGGTGCTGAAGATGAAACAGGAAAGAGATTGTCCCAGGCAGTCCTTGTGTCCAGAAGAAGAAAAGGTGTGGGTCTGAGTTAAAGCAGGTCTTCCCTGCTGTAGTGTACTACTTTGTAGAATTTTGTTGCCTTCAGAATTTAGAAATACCTGTTTACCTGTTTTTCTCTCCCAAATATAGTGCAGATAATACCTTCTATGACAAACTACACTTTGTTTTTATTCATGACAAGGTTTGGCTATACAGCTCAGGTTGGCCTTGAACTCCTGATTCTTGTGCCTCTTACAATTCAGTTCAGTTCAGGAACACTGAAGGACTTGGTATATGCCACCAGGCTTCACTGTGATATAGACATGGAGCGTAAATAGCCCCTATACTCTTAGAATAAGCATAGAATATAACTTTTGCTATAAGAAAATAAAATTCAGGGCTGGAGAGATGGCTCAGCAATTGAGAGCACTGACTGCTCTTCCAGAAGACCTAGGTTCAATTCCCAGCACCTACATGGGAGCTCACAACTGTCCTTAACTCCAAGATCTGATACTCTCACACAGACACATAGGCAGAACACTAATGCACATAGAAAAATTAAAAAAAGAAAAAGAAAAGGCCAGGCGGTGGTGGTGCACGCCTTTAATCCCAGCACTTGGGAGGCAGAGACAGGTGGATTTCTGAGTTCGAGGCCAGCCTGGTCTACAGAGTGAGTTCCAGGACAGCCAGGGCTACACAGAGAAACCCTGTCTCGAAAAAAACCGAAAAAAAAAAAAAAAGAAAAGAAAAAAATTACGGAGCCAGGTATGGTTGCTCCTACCTGTAAATCTCAGCATTTAGTTGAGAGGTCAAGGCCTTGGCCAAGGATTGCCAAGGCCAGCCAAAGCTACATAATAAATTCCAGATCAAACTGATCTACAGTATGAAATTCAATTTCAAGAAAGAGAGAGGGAGAGGGAGAGGGAAGGAGGAAGGGAAGACTGTGCAACTATCACCATTATTCAATTCTAGGACAGTATCTTTCTGTTTGCAGTATTTTTATTAGCCACGTTAATTTGTCTACAATCGTATGTATGTATGTATGTATGTATGTATGTGTATGTCCGTTTGTATGTATGTATATAATGCATTTACTCAGCCTTCACCCTGTCTTCTGTCTCTGTCACCCTACAACTCCCCTACTCCCTGCAATTCCCTTTCCCAAATCCGTGTCTTTTTGTTTTGTGGCCTGCTGCATTTAACCACGGTCGTCTGTGTTGTCCAGATTTGAACCTGTGCATTGGAGCCTGATGCTCACTTGTGGATGTGCATCTGAAAACACTGATTCCCCCCTCCCAGAATCCATCTTCAGCCTCTAGTTCAGCAGGGAGGTGTAGACCTTGTTTACAAGGCCAGTCTTTTGTAGGCTCAGTATAAGAAACTATGGTTGCCACGAGTTCATGAATGCAGTGGTTATTAGATCATATCTGTAAGATGGAGAAGACAGCATTTTATAGCCCTTCTTCATATTTTCCATTTCCTCTTCCACGATGCTGCCTGAGCCTTAGAGGGAGAGGTATAAATGTCTTATTTAGGACTCTCGCTTATTATCATTACCGTCATCCCCTCTGAAGAGAGTCTAGGCGCCATGATCCGACCTTGAAGTTGGAAAGCATCAAAAGCCGTTGGGTCATGGGTGTTGGGAATTGGATTCTCTTCCTCTGGTAGAGCAACAAGTACTTTAACCGCTGAGCCATCTCTCCAGCACCAGCAGTCAGTTCCTGTTGTCTTGTTCTGGTGGCTCACTTTTTATTTGAGACAGTAGCCCAGGCTGGCCTTTAAGTTGCTATATAGCCAAGGATGAGCTTCAACTCCAGATCCTTTAAATCTTTACTTCCAAGTGTAGAATTCTAAGTGTGCTTTACCACTGCTGATTCTAGAACAGTTTTATCACCAACACACATAATTACAAATATTCCATAGTCCTTTGTTCCCAACTAGCTCATAACCCAGGCTTCCCATTTATAGTCATCTAAGTTCTACTACATGGCTGCTTACCTTTCCTCAGTTTCTTTTTTTTTTTTTTTTAATATTTATTTATTTATTTTATTGATGAGTACACCGTCGCTGTCTTCAGACATACCAGAAGAGGGCATCCAATCTCATTACAGATGGTTGTGAGCCACCATGTGGTTGCTGGGAATTGAACTCAGGACCCCTGGAAGAGCAGTCAGTGCTCTTAACCGCTGAGCCATCTCTCCAGCCCCTTTCCTCAGTTTCTTATGTCTGGCTTCCTCCCCAGCTCTGTAGTGAGTCTCTCTGAGCTTGATTCTTCCCACAGTCCCTCTCTCTGCCAGGAAGTCCCGCCTACTATTTCCTGCCCAGCTATTGGCCATCAGCTCTTAATTAAAGCCAATCAGAGAATTCCTTAGGCAGGTGGGGAAGGACAGAGTCACCTTCACATGGTTTACAAAAATATCATCCCAACAGTCACTAGCAGTCACTGTCCACTATTCCTCATTCTCCTTTTGCAAATCTGTCTACTTCTAGAGACCAGCCTGTTCTGGATAATTGTGGCCTTTTGTGATTGCCTTCTTTCAGTTAGCATAAGATTTTCATGGTTCATTTATGTTATAATATGTATTCATTCTGTGTGTTTATTGTCAACTAATAGTCCATTAAAGGGACATAATGCTCAAGAATATTTCATTTATTATTATTGTGTGTGCGCATGAGTGTACACATGCGGTAGTGAGAGAACTTGCAGGGTTTTTCCCCACCGGTTTGCACAGCGAGCACGTTAACCATGAGCCCTCTCCCCAGCCCTGACTTCCTACCTCCTCCTGTCCTCCCCTCTCCTTCCCTTTTAACCTTTAACAGTGTTGGGAATTGAACCCAACATATGGACTTTGACAGGCAAGCATTCCCCACTGGGCTGTATCCTAGCCCCACTTGATTGGGGGGATTTGGACCCTGTTAGTGGTGATTCAGCAAGCTCAAGATGTAGCTCCCTGCCGCCCCAGCAGCCTGAGGAGTCCTTTTCAGAACTCCATTCTAGTAAAACCAGGTTTTTGACTTTGTCTCAGAACGGAGTTTCAGGATGAGCCAGTATGAAGCAATGTTATTCTTAATTTTATTTTTTAATGTTTCATTTGTTTATTTGAATGCATCCATGTGTATGTTGACTAGTTTTTATATCAGTTTGACAGAAGCTAGTTCATCTGGGAGGAAGGGCTCTTAGTTAAGAAAATGCCTCCATAGGATTGGCTTGCAGGTAAGTCTGTAGGGCGGCTTGTAGGTAAGTCTGTAGGGCATCTTTTTGATGATTGATACAGGCAGTGCAACTCCTGGGCAGGTGGTCCAGAGTGGTATAAGGAAGCGTCTGGGCAAGCTGTGAAGAGCAAGCCAGGAAGCAACATTCCTGTCACCTCTGCATCAGTTTCTGCCTCCAGGTTCCTGCCCTGACTCACTCAGTGGAATTACAAGTGGAATAAACCCTTCTCTCTCTCTAAGTTGCTTTTGGTCCTGGTGTTTATCACAGCACTAGAAGTGGTAATATATGAGGCTGCATCTGCCGTGGCACATGTGTGAAGGTCAAAGGAAACCTATGGGAGTCGGGTCTTATCCTCCACCATGTGATTCCCAGATACTGAATTCAGGTTATCACCCTGGTGGCAATTGTCTTTGCCCACTGGAGCTATCTTGCTAACCAGAATGTTTGCTTGCTTGTTTGTTTGTTTAATGAAGTTTCCCAATTAAAAAATAATTTATTTAATTTTTATTTTATGTGCATTGGTGTGAAGGTGTCAGATCCCCTGGAACTGGAATTACAGACAGTTTGAGCTGCCACATGGGTTCTGGG